AAAATGTTTAACATTTTCTATTGGCCTTTTTTTCTTTTGCCAGGGGAACCATCTTTAAAATATTTAGGCCAATCCCCCCCCCCCGCTTACAGGCATATTAGAATTTTCAAATCCCTGTCTCAAAAATTTCGATGTATTTTTTTTAAAAATCATGTCCTAAAACAGCAGTATAACCTGGTTAAAAAATATGTCATGGGTTTTCACTGCTGTCAGGTTGGCGTGACCCAGTGGTTCTCAAACTGTGAGCTACATCGACCTGACAGTGGAGACTTCCTCGCAGGGGTGACACAAAATATATTGTACAATTTTTTTATATTATTTCCACTTTTAATCCAATGTGACATGACACAGTGCAACCAGCTAATTACTTGAATCAAATACTGTTTGCAGATGATCCTACAAATGGTCACTAGTAGTGACCTACGTATGGGTTTTATTTATTTTACCCAACAAAAATTTTATATGCTACTTTGAAGTGTACTTGTTAGAATTTGACATAGGAAACCTGATCAAAATTCAGCAAAGGCAGTGAGAATATACAAATTTTAGGAACATTTGACGTAGCCAAACAAAATAAATACATCACATGAAAGAAATATACATAGACGAAAGGGTGACTGAATATTAAAGTTACTGGAGCCAATCTAGCGAGTTGTCTTGTGAAAACCCAAATCCCTGAAAGGAAATATACATGGACTAAAGGGTGACTGAATATTACAGTTACTAGAGCCAAATCTAGCAAGTTGTCTTGTAAAAACCCAAAGCAAAAGCACGAAAGTAATTACAAAAAATTTATTGCTGTGATTGATGGCTTTATGAGTGATATAAATAGGCTATTTATGAACAGTCAGAATAATATTGGCAGAGCTTGTGAATTAATGTGTCTACTTTTAGCCAAGACACCCCCCACCCCCCATGCAACATCTCCAACCCCTCTCAGTGGTATAGATATGGTCTATCGATGACCCCCTTCTGAGGTTTTCCCTCAACATTGGAAAGTCTTAAATTCCGGTACATAATAAAAATAATAGTTCAGTCAAAAAATTGTAAATGACTTTAAAACTGAGGACCTGTACCTTTATTTGGTTGTCAAGAAAAAATTTTTTTGTATTAACTTATAAGTACCCAAAATAAGGATCAGTCACAAAATGGAACAGAATTGAGATAGTTAATATAAAGAAGTACTGGTTGGAAATCAATAAATTAAGTTCTTTTTGTACAAGAAAATGTAATAAAAACATGACAATGAAAAAGTAACATCTTTAACTGTGAAGAACAGAACTGAATTAAAAGTTTCTTTACAGTAATTACAGTGAGACACAACCTTTAGAACAAACTTGAGTGTTCAAATATTTGGTATCATATGATAGATTATTCAATTCTGAATACAATTATATATATAACACGTTCTTACTGCCGTGTCCTTCGTTGAGCAACCAGCCAGATTATAAATTTACCCAATAAGTGAGAAAAATAAATAAAACACATGGGTGAGTGACTGCTATGGGAAAGAAAAATGTAAAAAGTGTAGAAAACATGGATCTGTATTGGTTGAAAGACAAATCCATTGGTCCTGTTATTGGAATAATTAGGAATGCAAGATAATGGTTTGTTACATTGACTTTTTTATGGCCCAAGATGTTTTACAGAGTCCTGTTACTTGGCAAAGGTTATGCATTTCTTAGCTATTCTGCACTTGCTGATTTTATTCTCCTTCCTTGTCTTAAATTTATTTACAGCTGTCTTAAGCTTGTTCAGTAACCATGGAGATTCCAAAACCAAATCCTTTGGGTCCAAAGTTTCTGGTGTAACAAGCTAGAAAAGAAAAAAAAAAAAAACGTGGAATATTAATATTAGTTTCCAAACTTTAATGCAACATTATAATTAAAGAATACTGCAACAAACACACTTGAAGTTTAAAGAAGACTCTCCAGATCAAAAATAGACAAAACCAAATCCTTTGGGTCCAAAGTTTCTGGTGTAACAAGATAAAAAAAAAAAAAAAAAAAAACGTGGAATATTAATATTAGTTTCCAAACTTTAATGCAACATTATAATTAAAGAATACTGCAACAAACACACTTGAAGTTTAAAGAAGACTCTCCAGATCAAAAATAGATATTAAAAAAAAAATCTTGTTAACACTATCATTTTGTAAATATCAGCAACCAGTTTCAAAACTGTGATAACCAGAAATCTGATTATTGATGATTTAGCATTTAACATCCTTACTTAAGAGATTTCATTTTAAATTCTAGAGCCTAGCAAACCTTTGCAGTAGACATCTCCAGCATGCTCTGTCACAGTGGTTGAGTCCAGGCCTTTATTGCAGTTGGTACATTTGAAACAAACTTTATGAAAAACCTGAAAATGTTGAGGTAAGAATTCATTGTCTAAGCCTTGTTAACATTGCAGTATCAGATTAAATGAATGATAACAATTCTAAAATTCACTAGTTTTTATTTTTAAGGATACATTTTTAAAAGTTGCAGAACTACTACAAATGCTGGTCAAATTGCTTTAAAAAAATTTCACATGTACTGTACAAATGAATACCATTGACAGAAATAACAAGGAATTTAACTTAGGCCTCAAAATTATTTTTTTGCATCTACTCATTAGTGGGTTGATATTGTTAAAATTTAGTACTTTATAAGAGTTTATTCTTTTGGCCCTACATAAAAACAATAATTATCTTTGATCTACAATGTGGTATCATATGATGGATAATTCAATTCTGAATCCAATTATATATAGAACTGCTGAGCTCTTTCTTCATTGAACAACTAGCCAAATTGTAAGGTACACAATGTGAGAGAAAAAATGACAGAAAACCAAGAATATTTGAGAGTTAAGCAGCAGTTAGAACACACTTCTCCATTATAATTATTTAATTGTGATCATACAATCATTACAGCACACATTTTCACTTCCTTTATAAGTTTATAGAATAGCTTTAAGATTCAAAAGGATGTATGGCTAAAATGAAAACATATTGCCTTTCACAGGTCTATGCATTCGTCATAATTTAACCCTCCAAAAAAATTGCCACTATAAGTGACACAAAGTGAGATAAAAATTTTAAGATTCAAAAAAAAAAAAAAAATGTCAACATGGGTAGTTAGTTTTGTTGCTGTTCTTCCTTCCCAAGTGAAGATGACTAAGGCTATTTGAAAAATGACCAAGGCTATATTGAAGACATTAAGCCTTTATTGAAGATGACAAAGCTGTAGTGAAGATGACCAATCCATATTGAAGATGACCAAGACTATATTGACTTTATAGAAAATTACCAGGCTATATATTTTAATTGTTTCTATAGTATAGTAGTTACTATCCTAATGTCTCATTTTTATTTTAGTTAGTTTACATGTTTTTAATAATTGTAAAGCGCTTAGAGCTTTAAGGTAAGAGCTATATAAAAATTCCTAAATAAATAAATATCCGACAGTGAGGTAGCAGATGTATTTTTCTATACCAAATATAGTTTAGAGATGATATATTGTTCATGAAATTGGGACCACTTTGTCTACACTTATGGAACACAATTTTTTTCATGAAACAAAGACATCTACCCAATACAAAAAAATGTCCATATCATGAATGAGTGACTTAGAAAATTGTTTTTAATGTACCATAGCAATCATATATGGATGGCCCCAGAAACTCTTCCCTCCTGAGCTTAACACTTTAAAAAATAGAACAATATCAACACTATTCCAAACGACTTCTTTCTCACTTGCAAAGGATGAGAAGTCACTAAAAACCTGCTCATAACTTCATACAAGATCCATACGGATATACAAGTATACTGTTACCTTTCCAATCCCTGTGACTCTCTCAGCAAAAAAGACAGCCTTCCTGCAACGATTACAGCTTTCTTTGTCACCAGTTAATCCTTCCCTGTCCTCCCCTCCTTCACTCATCAGTGGGGCAGTGTGAGCTTGAGCCAGGGCTGGGATGTGGCTGAGCAGGAACAATGATACAATGTATTGCAATGGATAGGTGGGCAGAACAAAATTATACCATGTATATTTCAAAGGATAGATGGGGAACAATATTTATAAAATTTATTAACTGTCGTGGATAGAGAGTAGGGGTGTGCCGGATCCGTTTTTTCCAACCGGATCCGGATTTTCTTATGCGAAATCCGCCGGATCCGGATACCGGTTTCTCCCGGATTCCGGATTTTGGTACTATTGGTAGATACTTCGGTAAGTCAAGGTGGACTACTACTTTTTGTGTATGGGAATTCGCAATCGGCGCCAAAAAATCCGAGTTTTTAATTTTCCGATGTGTGTGTCTATTTATTATTAAATTAGTACTTTCGATATATATTTGAGTTCCGTTCCATTTGGATAAGTGTCTTACGAGAGACGCCATGTTTCTACGCGTTCGCAGCAGGTCATGCAGCTCGCTCAACCTAATTTCGCCATGGGGTTGGCCACGCCCCCCTTTTTAATGGCGGAAGTTGACGATACTTAGGAAATATTAATTTATTATCACTATTTACATCAAAATAATTGATAACTTGTGTTTCAGAATGCATTTAAAGACATTTAAACTGGAATGTTTTAATTTGAGCTTTAACAACCCGGTAGAATCCATATTATAAATGATCAGAATTTACCGTGTGCAACACGTTGTCATTGGCAACCATTCACAGCCACTTGCATAACTGTATCGTAGTACTACCTCAGAGTTTCATTCATAAGAGTTTGCCGTGTGCAAAAACTATTAAACCATTGGTCAGGGAAAGCTTTAATTAATTATTCATGTGCCAAAGTTGAAAGTTTAAACTAAGTCTAAACAGTATTTTAGTGATAAGGCAGGGAATGCGTTGCCTTATATAAACTATATAGTCATTGCGCATGACGGGATTGGTGGAATGAGATCACAGAATGTGGAGATGCAGTCCATGTTAAAAAATGACAAACCAAGTCGTACTTTAAAAATTCATAACTTTAAAACTACAACAGCTAAAAATATGATTTTGGTGTTATAATTCTTTAAAAAATTACATCTTTTCAACTATGCCATTGGTTTATTTTTACAAAAAGTTTACATTTTCTTATCAAAGTCCATACACTATTAGCCACTATTAGCGGTGCTGACTCTAGCCTCTGGTATGTACGGAATATTAAACATTAAACAAGCTCAACGCTCGAAACAATCGATTAATGTATCGTGATCGTGTGAAATTCGGGAAAGAGAATTACTTTTATTTCAGATTATGATCCGGTGAGTCACAAAATCTGGCAAATTCCGAAATCCGGTATATTCCGGATTCCGGTTGTTCCGGATACATGTAAATCCGGCGGAACCGGATTTCACCGGATAGTGCAAAATCCGGCGGAACCGGATTCCGGACCGGGGTCCGGCACACCCCTAATAGAGAGGCGTAATAATTTTGTCTTAATGTATTTTATGTAGGGACTATGACTTTTAAATACTCTACATTTCTTAATATTAAACAAAATATATAATTTTATTTCTCAGTTGGTCTGAAAAACTATCCTATAAGCCAGGGGTGGGAAAACTTTTTGTGCGGAAGGCCAGATTGACAAATGTAAAGCTATTGGGGGGCCACATGTATATTATGTCCAATTTTTACAAGTCAATAAACATTTCTCTAAATTAAAATCTGTAAATTCGCATTTCATGACAAAAGTCAAGTACTGTTTAAGAATATAGAAAATTAGAAAGAAGGTCAATAAAAAATGCTAAAACAATCTTAACGGTACATGAAATTCTGTAAAATTCAACAAAATAACTTAATAACTTTTTAAATTTCTAAATGCCTTTGAAGGCCGCATAATATGAGTTGTCAACCACATGCGGCCCATAGTTTGCCCACCCCTACTATAAGCTGTAAGGGTCCCTAAGGAATGAATTAAATAAATAAGCTTGTTTATTCTCTCACCTCGTTGGTATTTCATCTGGTTTTCCAGTATCCATGGATAATCCAGATGCTCCACCAGCGAATCCATATCCCTTAGGTCCAAAGCTTTTACCATAGCAAGCTGGATATTTGAGACAAAGTCATTTATCATTGTGTGCATGTAAATCATAATCTTCAAATATTTCTCACTCTTCCATTACGAATAAATAATTTAACAGATACATTTTCAAAACAATATTCTATCATAAAATAAAGACTGAGGGTGAAAACTTTCAACTGTCATATTTCTTTAGAGGAGAGAAACCATATTATTTATTTCTAACGTACTTAGTTCACAAAATACATCAAATGCGTCCTAAAATTCGTGAGCATTGACTTTTGGACTGACAATATCACCTTTACAATAGATTTGGCCCGCATGCTCTGTCACTGTTGTCGAGTCCAGACCTTTGTTGCAGTTGGTACATTTAAAGCAAACTTTGTGGAAAACCTGAAAATGGGATGGACAGATGGCTTGTTTCATTTGACCTATTAATGAGAAATGCTTTGGTATTTTAAGTTTTATTAGCATTTTCCAGCTTTAAACTTGTATAAGAACTCACTGTTGGGAGCACAATCTTCTGAGAGTTAAAACTACCGCCCAAAGAAAGCTGAATAGCCTCCCATAAATCTAGGACCCTGTGACACGTATATCCTATACACTGGCAAGTGTTCTTGGCACCAATTATTAGGGCGAGCCACCTACGTACTCACCATCTTATATGGCCTCATTCATCTTCCCATATCAACAAACACATGGGCTGGTTTGATGATCAATTTTTCCAAATAGATTTTGGTATTCAGATAGCCTTAAATTATATTCAATACTAAATTAAGTTTTTAAACACTGTGTAGAGTTATCTGCAGGTTTCTGGTAACATGCTTTTATTCTTGCTTTTTTTCATTTGATCTTCTGAAGTATCAAACAACTTTTCCTGCATGATTCATATATTTTTTTTACCCAGTTCACTCCACCATTTAGTTTTACCTTTCCAATGCCAGAGACCCTCTCTGCAAAGTAAACCACTTTTCTACAACGGTTGCACCGGTCTCTGTCATCAGTCCAGTCACCTTCTGGCAATTCCCCCCCTTCAGTCAAGAGAGGAGCAGTGTGTGCCTGTGCTAGAGCAGGTATGTGTCTGAAAATTGATGAAGGTCAATTTAATATTGACAGAATTGATGAAAATAGTGCACACTGAGGTTAAAAATATTGATTAACAATTATTACCTTAATACTGGTTTCATCATAAATGGGAAACTAACAATAAGATATAGAAATAATCGTGTACTTTCTAGGCAAGAAGTGTTTTTTAAAAAAAATGAATAAAACAATTAATAATAAAAAAAATAATTGAGATTAGCATTGAGCATGATGATTGAGTGGAACATTTCCAGTTCACGTTGAATTGGAACAAATTTAATGCTAACCCCCTCTTTTTCAGATGTTAAGAATGGAAACGATCCATTATTTTGGATTTAATACTTTTTTGGCAAGATTAAATATTTAAAATTCATAAATATTTTTTCCCATTTATAATATACAAATAAAATAACAATAAATTAATACAAACCTTGTCGGCAACTCATCCAACTTTCCATTATCCATGGATAGACCTGACGCACCACCTGCAAATCCATAACCTTTTGGGCCAAAGTTCTTACCATAGCATGCTGTAAGATTAGATCAATGCATTAAAATAAAGAAACAAAAAATATAATAAATTGCTCTTATGGATTTTAAAAAAAATATCAGAACCCATTTTTTAAATTTTTTTTTTTTATTTAGGGATTGGCAACAAAATAAATTTCATTATTTACAAAATGTCTTTGGCATAAACAACATTTACAGATCCTAAGACAATTTAAAATCATCCACATTGGCTATTTGATTCCATTCAAATTATAAACAATAAATTAATAAAGAGGCCTTAGAGAATGAGAAATGATTTGGATTAATTTTTTGAAAATAATTATTTTCTCTATAGGAGGATCTTAAGCCTATTTACAGTGCTATGTGACAATTAAAAAACTTTAGGCTCTGATGAAACCAACTCTTGAATCTTCATATCTCCGACAAAAAGTATTTCAAAATTTAATGAAAACTACGTTGGAAATATCTAATCTATATAAAAAGGCACTTCTCACATCTGCAATAGATCTCCTCGTCCCTGACAGAGAGGCGGTTAGAGTCAAGACTCACACCACAAGCATTACAACGGAAACACAGCTTATGAAAGTACTGAAATATATAAAAATTAATTACAGTAATGAAATAAATTAGCAAGAGGACTTCCTGCTGTTTACAATTTGGAGACTTTTAAAAACTGAACTCCCCTTAAAACATCAGATTAAGATCTGCCCTATGAGCAACAGAATTAACTAAAGCAGTGTATTTTTAGGTGTTCTTTTTGATGCTTCAAATTTCAAGCATGGAATCTAATAAAAAATTTTAACATTGAGAACAATTCAAGAAATAACACACCTTGGCCCCACCTGTACATCTCTCAGCCATGTAAACAACTTTCCCACAGCGATGGCAAATGTCAGAGCCAGGAGGCGCTTTTGTTACACTAAGGAGGGGGGAATAATTGTGAAAATCTGTGTACATTAAATGTAATTTACATTATTTTCTCACAACTGTCTAATAAAATGTTGTAAAGAACTACGATATCCGTAACAGTCATCAATATGGAAACAATTAAAAATACAAGTACTAGGCCTAGCAAACAGCTTACTCAATTTCAGCAGAAGCTGCTGGTGCTGAGCTGTTGGGTCCAAAACTCCTCCTATAGCAAGTGTTACAAAAAATCTGATCCTCATGATCATTACAGTTGGTGCTGTCTAGAAACTTTCCACATTGAGCTAAAATGAAAAGCGCAAACATGTCAATCAAGTGATTGTTAACATACTAAAAAATTTATATGAGAAATGGACTTGTTAGCTAAGTCTAGACTACTTTTCTGTAAACCCTGAGTAAAAAACTTCAACCCTCAATATGGGTCTGACAACATAGCATGGGATAACTAACCTTAAGTCTACAGGAAATAAGCTGCCAGGCGTAATAAGAAGAGCTATTTTTCTTTCTAAATATGACTTCAAATTATAGATATAGTAGAGTGTCGATGTTATGAACAGCTCCTGTCTTTTATAATTATTTTTGCAAGCAATGCGCATGTAATGGAACATTTGTGTACCAACACAAGAAAACAATTCCAACCCCTGTCACACAATACTGTACATACTGTACTGTACATTAAGTGATCAGACTGAAATAATGCGAATGAAAAACTTTATATTAATATACATAGTAGAATACAGGATAAGAATGAAAATTTAACCACACATTTTATTTTATGTACCAATAATGAATCTTTAGCAACCAACTTTCAGCTGAAAAAAATAATAATCCCTTCAGTTTTTGACATCAATGATCCGACCGTTAAAGCTTGTGCTGTATGGTTATTCATTGTAGAATAAAGTAGCCTTTTTCAACTTGGGCCATAGGCCTCATTGTGGGAAGGGGGTACAACATTTGGGGGCCCACAAAATCTTTGAAAAAAAGACTTTGTAAACAAAAAGTATTTTTATAAAACAATATTAATAACAGGGAATGGGATGCGAAGCAAAATAAATGGTTAAAGTAGACCTCAAGCAAAAAAAAAAAAAAAAAATAAAAAAAAAAATCTTTGAAAAAAAGACTTTGTAAAAAAAAAGTATTTTTATAAAACAAAATTAATAACAGGGAATGGGATGCGAAGCAAAATAAATGGTTAAAGTAGACCTCAAGCAAAAAAAAAAAAAAAAGTTAAGAAATGCTGCAATAAGGGAAGATGCATGTATAGCTATAAAGTAAGAATATTTTTTTTTCATTGCACTAATTTTTTTTGGTGAGACCTTTCTGTGGCAATGTTTGGCTAGCCGAAACACCAACAGTCCCAATTAGTTTGGGACTACTCTACTCTACTTTTTTTTTTAGCATGGGACCAACATTTGGACTATTATCATTAACAAGTGCTAACAAAGAGGTTAGTTATAAATTATAAATGATATGTATACTAACTGAGTAACAGTAACTTTACTTACAGCACTTGAGGCATTGCTTGTGGTATTTCCTACCCAAAGCACGAACTTCTTCAGCAAAATAAACATTTTTGTTGCACCTTGGGCACTTGTCGGCTCCACCCAGCACTGGCGGCATTATTGTGTTTCAACTCTTGCAACTTATTCAAGGCTGGTGCAGACTTTTTACTTATTGCTTCCTATCCTTGTTTGTTAACTACAAAGGCAGAGAGAAAACTACTACAGTTCATTTTTGACTGAAGTATGCAAGAGAGATGCCAGTACTACACTTAAATTTAATTTTTTCCATAAAATTTTTAATAAATAATAATTGAGCTTAGCAGCAGTCAACCTTAGTTTAAAATGATTTAAAAAAACTATTATTTCAGAAAGACATAAATAATCAAACTAATCCTTTTCCCCCATCCTGATTATCAACTCCGGATTTTGAACCAGGGTTCAGAAGATTAAATCAGCAGTTCTCAGTGGGCTGTCACAGGAAGCGGTAAAGACAGCAAGATACATGATAGCAGGTCAAAATCAAAACAAAGCTAAAATCATATTGGCCCTTTAAAAATGACCTTTGGCCTAATGTTTGGATCTGGAGGCCATCTAATCATAGGATCTGACAGAGGTTCAGAAGCAAATCTTGGTAGCTATTATGGTAGTATTATTAATTATTATAATGTCTACCTTACTTTGAGTAGTAAACCATAATTACAAATCGGTTTGTGTAATAATCTTAGAAAAAAAAACTAGTTTCAGTAATTAGTGTTCTTTTAATTTCTATGAAATATCTATTATCACTCACAATGAATAGCTTTTTAGTAATTATTTCTAATACTAGTAGTTTTACTCAGTGCATGGCTATATCAAACATGTTAGGCCTTATATTTTCTAAAATTAAAGCAGTTGCTATTTGTACTGTTGTATAAAATAGGCCTTATTCTACGTAAGGCAGACATCAGTTCAGTAAGAATTGTATTTTATCATCTTTTTAAAAATTGATTATATTACTCCAGTTGGAAGCTTCCAATAAACAAGTGAACCAATTATTTTTTTTTTTAAAAGGTAAAAATAAAACGTTCAAAAAAGACTTTCTATCAAAGATGTGCTAAAATTAACTAAAATGTAGATAATTTCACATTTCTTAAAACGCATTATGCAGATGTGTAGATGAGCACTCTATGAAGCCTAAGGATTTGAAGTGAACGTAGACAAAACTTATGTTTTAGTATTATTAATATTATTATCATTACATTACAGTGGTCTCATATAGCGCAGTATGAAACATTTTTAAATTATAATTTTTTCGATCTTTTTTTCTTCTTTCTGTATAGTTTAACAAAATAACATCCGTTTTCTGCTAGTGTCAAATCATTGCAGAGTTTCGTGCCCCTTGTTAACCTTTGGTCCAATTCAAAATGTAAACATTGGATATGCGATGGGAAAAATGCAGTTCACTGTCATTTCTTCGTTTAATAGGTTGTGTGATATATTATTTTAAAGAGTATTTTATGCTGAGCAATACTGTGTAGAGTCAAACTATCTACAAGAATGAGCAAATAAAAATTCCATCCAAACGACCCCAACAGTTTCATTAAATTTTTCAAAAACAATGGTGTATGGTCACCACAATGGTGTATCCTCCATGGATACCATTTTTAATATGGTAGAAGTCATTTTTAAATATTATGTATTCTGATTACTAAACAATGTTAAAAGCACTATTTTAACTTATTTGAAGTAAATATTTTTAACAAAGAAGTCATATAAATATATATTTTATTGTATTTCTTTTTTTTAACAGTGAACTGCCACTACTATATAATTGGCTTATTTAGGAGTTTGGTCAAGGCTATCTGGCACTAGGTAATATGAAGAAAAAATCCTTTTATTTTTATAAAATATTTAAAATTTGTTTGATCTGTAGATGAATTGTTATTTTGAAATACTTCACACACACACAAATATTTAAAGGTCTCTCAAATGAATTCATGATATTAATCATATTTGCAAATTTGTAGGCAATAGTTGTTCAAGTAGCACAAGTAATTTTTAATACTAGGACTAACAATTGTTTTATTTAGCTAGTAAAATGCAAATTACTTTTATGAATGCCCTAATGATTTTTTGTTGATGAGATTATTGTTCATGCTGTGTTCATGTTCAAATAAGATGTAAGGAACTTGGACTGAAATTTTGAATATTAATGAGCTCATCATGGTCATAAGTAAGGCAGATTTTATTATACTTTGTCTAGGAGAATGTTATGATGATCATGGATATATATAGTTTGTAATGGTTATCTTCATTAACTCCTTAAACAACTTCAATTTACTGCTCTTTTTAACATCCATCTCAAACCTCTGCCAGTTTTTATATTTTTCAGCATGTCTAAATTAACAGAGTTATCCCAAAATAATTCACACACAAAATCATAACTTTCTTGAGAATTGATCTACAACCACAAATAAATATGGCATCAATCAACTGCATTTTTCAGACCCTGTCTAACCAACTAGCTCTTTAACTTTAAGCTATAATTACATTTTGAAAATTTTGCACATGTACCTAAATGTATAGGCCTAATAATTTCATTCCAAAAGAAATCTTTTTAAGATTAAAAACAAAACAATAAAAAAGAAGGTGATGTAAAACACAACCTGAGAATTTAAACAGTCGAGATGAAAAACAGACACTTGGTTTTAAATGAAAATAACATTATAATCATGAGGCTTTGGGCTCAGCTTAGCTTATTCATTATTATATAAATTATGCAAAGTTATAGATTGTAGGGGTCAGTATGGATGGGCATGGGCCTACTATTTATCAATAAGACTTTAAGTACACAACAAAGGCGGTATAGTCACGAGTCACAGGTCTCCGAATAGACCACAGCCAGATCACAATGGCATGGTGCCCTTTTTTGGGTTTAGAACAATATGCTTAAATTAAATCATTTAATTTTTAATTATTTTAAATTTAAATGTTTTTTTTTTTTAGTTTTTGGATAAGAACAGAAAAATAGGCTAGCCCTAGCACTGGTACTGCTTATGAACAAGTATTTCAATAACAATTAGAATCTAATACTAATAGTAATAGTTAGAATTAGAAATAATCAAATTTAAATGATTCTTTAAAAAAAATATTGGTAATCTACCATTTAAGCATTTAGTTATTAAAAAATCATGTTGTTCTGGTTTGAAGTGATATTTAAACTGTTATGATTTAATTGATAAGACTTACGCCTACGCTGAAGTAGTAGACTACAAAAATATTTATATTATTAATTATTATAAACCTAACAAATTAAATTTGTATAAAATATAATATTCAATTTCCTTTAGGCCTAGGCTATTTCATTTGTATTGAATTTACAAAGCCAAAATATATGATTTAACCTTGACAGCAATAATCACATTATCACAATGACCAAAATAAATTACTGAACTGACTCTAAGTCTAAGTCCACTTACTACCTCACTATTTGTACTTAGAATCACAAGATAGTGACAACATAAAAATGAGAACCAATTGGCGTTTATTAGGCTAGTTTTGATAACTGACAAGTCCTATTTATTACTAAGTCAAAGTCTAAGCCTAAGCAAAAATTCAGGCTCAGGCATACAGTACTATGGCATAGGCATAGGCCTAACCAAAGAATTTAGTTGAAAACAATGTAAAAATACTTTAACTTCACTTACTCATTTACTTTCTTAAATATAAGGCTTCAAGTTACTTAGCAGGGCCTGCTAATTAAATTAACATTTAACACGTATTTATCTATTATAATATTCAGTCACCCTGAATAACTTCGCCAAATGAGCAATTATGCACTGAACTAGAACAGTATTAATAACCTTTGAATCGCGGCGGGTGAAAATCACAATAGGGCGAGGCACTGGTGTCAAAGCTGCCACTCAGACTTTTCCAAATTCCCCAAGTTGGATCTTAACATTTCCCCAGATGATACCATGATAAAAATTACATATTTACTTTGTAATTTCCAGATCATATGAAAGGAGTGGAACGGAGAAAAGACGAAGGCGGTGTAGGATCTAGTTGCAAACATAAGAAACTTCCATAATAGTAAAAAAAATTAAAAAATTCTAAAAATAAATACACCAGTCTACAGAATCATGAAAGTCTACTCAATCAGTCACCGTCAATCTTAATATATGCATTTCATTTTAAAATCATAGCCTGTCAATGACATGTTTTAGATTTATTACTATTTAATATATATATATATGTAGGCCTATATATATTTATAGATATGTATATACACTCATATGTGTGTGTGTATGTTTGTAAGAGCAATTAGAAGTCATTCAACTGACTATTCACTCAGACCTTCAATTTGTTTCGAAATTACAAAGCAAATTAAATATATATATATATATAAATATATAAATATTTGAATAAAAGCATTAATGGAAAGCATTTCATTATGACCACATCATCAGATATTTGGCAATAATGGTCCCACACTCTTTAAATTCTATACATGTTGCTTAAGCTCTTCAATAACTAAACAAGTGGTGGGCGAAAAAACACAATCATTAGATTTGTAAAAAAAAATTAAAACGATTTCATCTCCCAGTTTGATAAAGAGTGTTGACTGAGTGGTTTGTTTGTTTGGGTTTTCCCGTTTGTTTTCAAAAGGTTTAAGTCACTGGTTTTACCTTTGTCTGCTCCCTGATGAAGGTTTCTTGCCAACATGTTGGTCATTTTTATTATTATTTTTTTTTAAATTCCGTTTTCCCCATACTTTGTTTCACTCAGTTGCAGAAAGAAAGTTTAAACCTTGAATGTAAATCTTTTAATCAGTAGGGGAGCATCTCATCACCTGTTTATTAATTAAAAATTTCATAAAATGTATCAATTATCTGAACGTAAGAGTGTAGACGAAAAATAAATTATAGCCTACTGAACGTAATATGGACTTTGTCCCTGTATTTGTTGAATTGTGTTATGTTAGTCACTTTAATTTTAGCATAATTTTTTGTTCCTTCACAAAACTTCCATGTAACAAATGTATGCAATCTATTGATAAAAGACTTTGGTTGTATGACTTCGCTAATTTCTAACGCCAACGCCGCTTTAAACATGGGAGTTACCACCGACCAAACAGTTAACGTTTGTCCAGTCCTATGTAGCTTTTCTTATGATGTGTTAAAAAGTTTTTAGATACCCAAGAATTTAAGGGAATGAGGCAAACAGTTATTTATCCCCCCCCCCCCACACCACACAATGCCCCCACACCCCCCGCCAACACGCTATAAAATTTCACAAGGTTCCATCTGTTTTGTTAAATAATTCCTCAGATTCCTAGGAAGGCTGTG